CATTTTACAGAAGCCACTGAACAGGTAAGTTTTCTATCACTATCAAGATGGAGCCATGTTTGTACCAATAACCAAGGAATGAAAAGCTTCAGATCCCATTGCTATGGTTCAAAGTTTGTCTCAGAGATTATCCCTTAAAACCAAGTGTGATTTACAGTGACTGTAAGGAGAATTAATGGTTATGCCATTTTCTGACAGGCTACTTGCTCCCACCAGACTTCCTATCTCCACTGGTATGTGCAGTTCCTGCTCCAAGCAGGCAGCTTCTATTCCACTTGCATCCCAGCTGAACCTGCCCATCATGTACCTTTCAATCACAGCTAGAGTGGCTGCACACAGAGCCTGCTGGGAGACAAAGGCACAGGAATTGGCTGAAGTGTTGGGTGGATATGAAGTTTTGCAGCTGGTGGCAAGAGAAGGAATGCAACTTTGGCAAAGTGGGGAGGCAGCAGTCTTCAGAAATTACAGAATCCTGCCTGTTGTGCAGTCAGAGACAGTCTGTCTCTCTCTCTCCCCTCCCCATTACGAAGCTCCTCGGAGAGTCCAGTCTGAAAAGCACTATGCTTTCCCCAGCATTGTTTGCATTGCATTTTAAGAGAAGGCATTGTAACAGCTGTAATGAGGATGAAGGATACAAAGATGATATATACTGGTACTGTAAGAGCAGACAAAACAGGTCAAAACCAAGAAGATCAGAGAGGGATCTTGCTCTAAGGGCTCCATCTTGCAATGAATCTCAGGTGGGGCCAGGTCCACTCGTGTGCAGCAGCTTGCAAGTCAGAGGCCAAAAGAGACTGCCAGCTCAAAGAATACATACAAATAAACTTTCTACTATTACTATTCACTGTGTTGTTACTGATCACCTAATTAAACGTGCATCTTACTGAGGAAAACTATGCACTATGCACACTTAGAATACACTTATTGTCACTTACAACGTCACTGCTCTTTAACAATTATTTTTCAAACTTAAATGATTATTCAGAGAGGACTAGCCACATGATAAGACCTCAGTTTAACAGAAATCAGCAGCTTTTGTTGTTTTGAGTACAAAAAAAGTCAAAACAATTCCTTAAAAATACAAAAAATATTAGTGTATACTAGGGCTGTTAAGTGATTAAAAAATTATCCACGATGAATTGAACTGTTAAACAATAACAGAATACCATTTATTTAAATATTTTTTGATGTTTTCTACATTTTCAAATATATTGATTTCAATTATAACATCCATGCTGATGACGGGTTCTGCTTGATAACAATCCAAAGCAGTGTAGACCGACGCATGTTTGTTTTCATCATGAGAGTCAGATGCCACCAGCAGAAGGTTGATTTTCTTTTTCGGAGGTTCGGATTCTATAGTTCCGCATCAGAGTGTTGCTTTTTTAAGACTTCTGAAAGCATGCTCCACACCTCATCCGTCTCAGATTTTGGAAGGCACTTCAGATTCTTAAACCTTGGGTTGAGTGCTGTAGCTATCTTAAGAAATTTCACATAGGTACCTTCATATAAACAACATGTGCTGAGTCATCATCCGAGACTATTATAACATGAAATATATGGCAGAATGCAGGTAAAATAGAGCCGGAGACATACAATTCTCCCCCAAGGAGTTCAGTCACAAATGTAATTAATGCATTTTTTTTTTTTAAACGAGTGTCATCAGCATGGAAGCATGTCCTCTGGAATGGTGGCCAAAGCATGAAGGGGCATACAAATGTTTAGCACATCTGGCATGTAAATACCTTGCAACGCCGGCTACAAAAGTCCCAGGCGAACGCCTGTTCTCACTTTCTGGTGACATTGTAAATAAGAAGCAGGCAAAAGCATTTTCTCCTATAAATGTAAACAAACTTGTTTGTCTTAGCAATTGGCTGAATGAGAAGTAGGACGGAATGGATTTGTAGGCGCTGAAGTTTTGCATTGTTTTGTTTTTTGAGTGCAGTTATGTAATAAAAAAAAATCTACCTTTCTAAGTTGCACTTTCATGATAAAGAGATTGCTCTACAGTACTTGTATGAGGTGAACTGAAAAATACTGTTTCTTTTGTTTATCATTTTTACAGTGCAAATATTTGTAATAAAAAATAATAATATAAAGTGAACAGTGTACACATTGTATTCATAGAATCATAGAATATCAGAGTTGGAAGGGACCTCTGGAGGTCATCTAGTCCAACCCCCTGCCCAGAGCAGGACGAATCCCCAACTAAATCATCCCAGCCAGGGCTTTGTCAAGCTTGACCTTAAAAGCTTCTAAGGAAGGGGATTCCACCACCTCCCTAGGTAACGTATTCTTTGTTGTAACTGAAATCAACATATTTGAAAATGTAGTAAAACATCCAAAATATTTAATAAATTTCAAATGGTAGTCTATTGTTTAACAATGTGATTAAACGGAGCTTAATAGCAATTAATTTTTTTGAGTCAATCACATAAGTTAACTGCGATTTGTTGACAGCCCTAGTTTATACTTGTCTAACTCAAACTGGTCCAGTGTGTTTTCCATAGAGTTTCTGAGCAAAACATCCACAATTGGTTTGAGACCAAGCATGAAATTTCAGTTCAAACATTATTTTTAAAGGAAGTTCCTGGCTGAAAAGGTTTTTATTCTCAACCTTATTCTTAGCAAAAACCCTATCATCATAAAAACAAAGCAACATAAATCATTTGTGAAATTAAAATTCTGGTTGAAAAACTTGTTCAGATTAAATGGGATTAAAAATTCAGATTAAAAGGCCAATAATCTGAACTGCTCTTTATTTTTGGTTAATGGGGGAATCCAACAGATCACCTGGAATTGGGAATAAATTGAAAGGATCAAATAATTTTCAGGTTAAATTTGCACCCTGTCAGCAAGTTATTAAAAAAGAATCACATCAATGCTCTGACAAAAAGTATTGATAATTATGTACAGTTCGATCGGCCAGATTCTCCACTGCTTTATCTATCCCTTATGCAGTCATTTACTCCTGTGCAAAGAGAGTGCATTTTACATCAGCTGAACACAGTGTAAATGCCTATGCGAGGTGAAAAGCAGTGGTGAACCAGGCCCTATGTTCTCTACATAACTACTGAATATCAAGATATTTGTGAAGCAAAATTTACGTGTCAGCAGTCCAGTCTCCACCTGCCTGTCCTTCAGTGGCGCTACTAGAACTATGCAGAAAATTCCTGAACAAACAGGTGAAACCTGTGGGTTTAATTACAAACTGAACACTTGGGCTGGATTTGCTGAGGTTTTTGAGCTGTTCAGCAAACCAGACCAGTTTTAGAAGTTTCACATGGATGCTGTTTATAAAATAATGATCATATTTTAAAAAACAGTGGGTTTGATGAGTTTTGTTTTGAAGGACAAATCATCCAGGTTGAAGAAATTTGCATCTGGAGAAGGAACGGAGAGAAGGAAGAGGCAGTGCTACCTTCTCCAGAAGTTCATACTTTTATCAGCTGATCAGAAAGATGATCATTTTTCACACAGTTTAATTGTACCTTGTTTCATAAAGTGCTGCTGAAATGATTAAGAGAACTTAGAAGCATGGCAGTGGAATCAAACACTCAGAGTTTAAAATCCACATTGTACATATGAGAGTGTGTAAAAACCGATATACATCAACATAACACAAAATGATATTCCATTTCAAAAACAACTGGTGCTGAAAATGAATCAGTTTATGAACAGCTATGGCTGCGTTTATGCAAGGAAAAGAGAATGGGGAACTCCAGGGAAAAGGAAAAGGAAAAAAAAACTTGTCAGCCACTCACCTTATCCCCTCAGACCCACCTAACCAGGGCTAAAGTTAGATTCGGGTGCATAAAGCTGAAACTCTCAGCAGTTCAAAGGATTTATGAAAAAATATTTTACTTCTGTCTCTTTTAATGTATACCATTTTCCTCTTATATCTGCTGTAAGTGCCATGAGAGTGCAATGTTAATAAGATGTGCAAAGGCTTTTGTGTAGCTGAACAGTTTTATAGTAACGCATTGATAAATAAAAGGATTTGTCACTGTTAACACATTAACATGTCTCTCTGAGATCTAAGTCTGGACTCACTGTAGCAAATAATGCTGTCCTCTTCCAAGCATTTTCTTTCCAGGAAATTAATTGGTATTTCAATTTTTGCATTCATTGTTTAGTCACACCCTGATCCGTATCCCTGCCAATTGCCATCTTTACATGAAGTATGCAAGTAATTTTATAAAATGGATTTTCCAGTTTTCATCTGTAGACCATGGAACAACTACATCACACTACCTCTGTAAAAAGCCTGAATACCTTGTGCGAGTATGATAGGCTCCCTCCTGCTCTGAAAGGTTCCTCTTGTACCAGAGGATGCATACAATTTTATCCTACAAAAACGTCGCATTCAATAGCATTAATTTACATGTATAGCGCACCCTCCATCCCCAAAGACCCCAATGCACTTTACAAACTTGCCCTCTCTGTACATACACTGTATAAATACACACTGCTATAGATATGGACATAAGAATCACCCCCCACTGACATGCACCTCCTGCACGCATTGCCAGCATGTTCTTTGAAAGTCAGTTTTCCATGCTTTACATCATATCACCACCAAGGAGGAAAATAACACAATGTGATGTAAAGGCATGGCGATATCTTTGCCAGGAAAGTCCGGGGAATATATACAAGCAACCCAACAACTATACAATTTGGATGACTAAAGCTTCCCTGGCAGCATGCCACATAGGTTAAACTGATGTAAAGTCTGGTTTGTGGGGAATTGCACCTCCATTCTCCTACTTTGTCAGTATTTATAACAGCCCCAGTTTACTATTTGACAGATGACCCTCAGTCAATTGTTTATACAAGCAAAGGATGTTCACTATCAACAAGTCTGCCTGCTTACTAACGATGAAGATTTAAGAAAAACAGCACAACAATCCAATACTCGTCAGCAGGAAAGAGGGTCCTGGAAGTGTTAGGTGGGGAAGGATACTGGGGTGGATACAGAGAAGATTTGTCTCATGACCTACCTGAGAGACCTTTCTGACAACATCACTGCCCACGCTAAGCCCCTGTACATAGGAGCGCACTGCGATGAAAGCTCTTGTCGCCTTCAGCTTCAGGTCCCTCGGAATTTCTCCAAAGGGTTTGTGCTGCTCAGAGTGTTTCACCATGCAGTCCAGGTACTCGTCAGTGATGTGGTACTGGGGATTCACCAGCTTGAAGAGGCGCTCCAGCAGGCGTGTCCAGAACTCGTTGAGGGCCTCTTCCAGGTTGATGTTGGAGCCCCGGTAATAGCGTCGTAGCTCACTGTACAAGTCCTTGAAGAGCTTGATGTTCTGGCTGTACAGCTCTCCATACGTGCTAGGAAAAGTGTCATAGAGGGCTTTCTCTGACTTGTTCAACAAATCCTGGAAATAACCTGCAAAAAGAGGGAAAAGAAGAGGGTGACAGATCAACAGGAGAACTAGAAATCTCTACCAGGCCAGTCTAAAGACACCTATTTGGTTGCACCACTCAGGAGGCTGAGAAAAAGGAGCCAAGGGCAGCTTTTCCTCTTATCTTTTGAGTGAGCTCCTCTTCCATCCATAATTTTAAGTCTTGAGCTGTTGTTAAAAGGACAGAGCAGGGTATGCACCACAACCAGCATGTAAGAGTGGTCTGCTGCCACCTTGCTCCTTCCCTCTATCAACATCTAAAAAAATATCAAGTGCAAGCTCTGGATATGTTCCTAAAAATCTGCTGTGCAGAGTGCAGTGTTCTGCCACTAAGCTTTCAGAGTCACATTTCTCCTTGGTTACTGCCTGGCCAAGCAAAGCAACCAATATAGCTAGGGCAGAAGTTAATGGCCAAGGGGATCCACATGGAAGTGCCCATCCTCAGCCTGCAGAAGTTCTTCTGAAACAATGAATGGTTACAGCAAAATGAAAGTTCAGTAATCCTACTTCTGTCTGTTTAATTGCTCTGGGTAATGTATATAAATCACTGTTAAATCAGTCTGACAAAGGGCTGTCAGGACTGAAGATGCTAAAAGCTTCTCTTCTGTGCAGCCACTGCTTGACAAGAACTCGTATGAACAAGTTAACAATCCCGTTTCAGAGACTGCACCAGAATTAACACACACACACACAAAATTGTTCAAACAATTCTTGAAACCTGGATGCTTGCTCAGAGTTTGAGAGATGCAAGACAAGTGCTTGATACAGTATAAAACATTTGTATTTGATAAAAGCCGCAAATTAACTTTGTATTATCCGTGATCTCATTAACAATAAATGACAACAAATTTTATATTTCTTTCAACCCATATTGCCACAATGCTTCTGCAGTTAAAGCTGAGATTGTGTTTTCTTTCAAAGAATTTGTAGGATATTAAATATTAAGGCCCCAAACAGCAAGACGCTTAAGCTAGGATTTAACTTTAAGCACATGAATAATCTCTTCCATATTAGCAAACCATTTAAGCACATGCTCACCTGAGCAGTAACTTTAATGTTGACTTCAGTGGGACTACCCAAGTGAGTAAAGCCACCAGCGTTTGACCCTCAGGAAGTAAACTACTGCATAAACTCTCATTCACTTCCAGAAGATTTTTAAAAATTATATAATTTTTTCAGTAATGCACAGAAAGCAGGGTTGCACATTTAAATTAAGTTAGTAAAGATAGACTGTCCTAACAGTTGTCAGGTAAATAGGAAAAACTGGAAGTAGGGCATTCTATAAACACATAAATCTAGTAACATTTGGTAATGGATCTCAGCCACCATCGATCTCAGGAATTTTTTAATCCATTAAGGAGAATGTTAATGTTTAATGATGTTAATGATTAAAAAAACTAAAAGATCATAGAATATCAGGGTTGGAAGGGACCTCAGAGGTCATCTAGTCCAACCCCCTGCTCAAAGCAGGACCAATCCCCAATTTTTGCCCCAGATCCCTAAATGGCCCCCTCAAGGATTGAACTCACAACCCTGGGTTTAGCAGGCCAATGCTCAAACCACTGAGCTATCCCTCCCCCCAAGATCTCTTTAAAAAAATTATTGCCATTAATTAGGTTAGCACCCCAAACTCCCTCCTGCACCCCAACCCCCTGCCCCAGCTCTGAGCCCCTCCCAGAGCCAGCACCCCATACCCCCTCCTGCACCCCAAGCCTCAGCCCTGAGGCCCCCTCCTGCACCAAACCTCCTGCTCCAGCCCTGACCCCCCTCCCAGAGCTTGCACTCCTTACCCCCTACTGCACCCAACCCCCCTGCCCCAGGCTCAGCTCAGAGCCCCCTCCCACACTGCGAACTCCTTGGCCCAGCCCAGAGCCCTCACCCCCTCAGAACCCCAACCCCCTGCCCCAGCCACCGGTGAAAGTGAGTAAGGGTGGGGGAGAGCAAGCAACGGGAGGTGGGTGTGTGGAGTGAGTGAGTGGGGCAGGACCTCAGGGAAGGGGCAGGGTAGATCCCTTAAATTCAAAAACTGATCTTGGGCATAAAAAGGTTGGAGACCACTGGGTTAGACTAACACCTGTTAGGCATGGTCTAGGAGCTTTACTTGGTCCTGTCTCAGTGCAGGGGGCTTTAAATGTCATTAAATGGCACCTGGAGACTCCAGAAACAGAAAATGAAGACTATATCCAGTTCAGGCAACAGGAAAATGTAGATAAATGGAGTGTACTGCAAATATTCCTTTAGGAATATGAGTGGGGCACCCGAGACACCACCCTTCTCATTTCCAGACCTCAATTTTGCATTTCATTCAAAAGATTGAACCTCCACAACCAACCGTCTCCTCCTAGCACCATGCCAGAGCAGTGACTGAGAGGTTACTAGAGGAAAGATTCCCACCTCCTGAATTGTCAACACCATCTTGTTTTCCCCCTAGAAGTCTCCCATTCATCCAGCTACTGTCCAGGCTGGACACTGCTTATCTTGGGAGCCCTAACAAGATCCCTGTACAATATAGCATGTTCAAGTCACACACAGCATGGTGATGTGTACCAATGTGCCTGAATGGGACGGAGCCCTTACTTGTCACAGAGTGCACTTGTTCAGGATGGTACTTGACCTTAACCAGCTGGTGATCTTTCCCATTCCTGCTGTCGCTACACAAAACATAATTGCTAGCTGATCCTCTCCATGTGACTTTAACGTTTAAAGTTTCTCTTTGGTACAGCAGTGGAACCTGAGTGATTAGGCTGATTTCCTATCTATCCTTCCTCTCTGCTTGTTTTCTGCTTCTACACTCTACCTAACAAGTATTCCTGTTGTGCTTCAGGTCATGTGGTTTGATGAGTGTGTTCTGTGACCTATGAGGATGGATGGGTAACTGAGAACTGCAGAGATTTCTCTCTATAAAGAATGTTCAAATTGAGTATATATGTGGCACAAGTCATTTATAAGGAGGGACCTATAACTGTAGAACTGTGGATTAACAAAGTAATCCAACCCCCCGGTGGAACGTACACACGCAGAGGTCACTGGTCATCCTGTATTCATTAGTGTTCTGTGTGCAGTAGCTTTGACAGGAAGAAATATTGCCAAGTCCAGAGAACTCAGGGGCTCTGGTAATTAGGCTTCCGAAGTGTAGTTGACTAATGGGCACCTTAGCACTGGCTAGAAATAACTACCTGTGAAAGAAATATGGGGCACAGGAGAGTGTGTCGAGATAAAAAGCTGGAAGATGACAGTTCTGCTATAGGAAATCAGGGAGAATGTTTTTAAAAAATACCTGGTCTCTCTTCCCAAGATTTAAATAACTAGAGTTCTGAGCAGCAGCGTGTCTAGTGGGGAGAGAACAAGACAGGGGCCCATGAAGTACCAAGTTCTGATCCAGACTGCTACCGTCTGCTACTTCTATTCTACCCTCAGATAACAAGTGCTAAATCTCACCTGTGCATCTGATGAGAGAAATTATGTTTATGAAGGCGAAGGAATACGAGTGCAAAGGCATGTGCTGGTGTTGGCTGGCGCTGTCTGAGGGAGGTATTTAATCTCACTCTATCACTCTCATCACCATAGTATCTGAGAATGTCACAAACATTATGAATTTAGCATCCCGAGCCCCTGTGAGGTAAGGAAATAAGTATCAACATCCCCACGTTACAGATGGGGAAAGTGAGGCAGAGAGGGTGTGACCTGCTCAAGATCACATAAAGTGAGCGGTGCAGATAGGATGAAAACTCAGGCATTTCTGGGTTATAATCTTCTGCTCTGTTCACTAGACAGCTCTGTCTATCAGCACTCGAGATATCTAAACCCTCGATAGGTAGGGCAGATGTTTTAAGTACTTTTCTTTTTAAAAAAAATATTGTCAAGGGTGGTTGGTGCAGAAAGGTTTCAGCATCCGGAGAGGAGGTCTCTCTGAAGAAGTAGTGGGGGAAGGCAGCTCTAAGTTTGAGATGAAATTGCTTGTTATGGGGATCACTGCAAATGGTCTTAATTCTTTCCCTTGCCCACCAAGTGCTCTCCCAGGCTGTGTTGGTGCACTCTCCATCTCATTCTCCTTTGAGTCCTGGTGCTCCTTTCCCTCTTTAAAAATAATCTTGGAGCTCAGCTGTATCTGTGCCGCACAGTGAAATGCATACAGTGGATTTTGCAGAGCTCCAAAACTCACAAGACTAGGAGCCGTGGGGTGTCAGAGGCTCCTTTTTGGGACAAGTCCTACAACAATTCACTGGGGCAGTGCTGTGCCAAGACTAAGATCAGACACAGATGGGTCTGGGGATTGATAGCGGGGCAGTAGCTAGCCAGCCAGTGATACTGAAACTGGAAAACAACACCATTTCAATGTAATTGTCTGTGACACCCATGCAAAACTGGGACATTCCCAGGGAATTAAACTATCTGGACACTCTAATGTTTGGCTTTGCCTCAGCAGAGTCTGTCAGTCATGTTCAAATATTTATTAGCAGCCACATTTTAAAACCTGGCTACTGACTGTGAGTGACTCACTGCCTGGGGGCACCACGTGAGACACTTAAAGGCTGATTTTATCCAGAGGCACTAAGCATCGGCAGCTCCCACTGACCTAAACTGGGATACTCAGCACATCTGAAAAACAAGCCTTAATGTCTCAAGCTGGGCACCCAAAACAGAATCACTCTCAAATCAGTGGCCACTACTTAAAATTTCCAGCCTAGTTTTATATGATTTAAATTTCTCTAGAGACTATATGGCAACCCCCATTTTCTCATGTTCTCTGTATATATCTATCTATCTTCCTACTGTATTTTCCACTGCATGCATCTGTTGAAATGGGCTTTAGCCCACATAAGCTTATGCTCAAATAAATTTGTTAGTCTCTAAGGTGCAACAAGTACTCCTCATTCTTTATAGAGACTATGAGACTCATAGACTTTAAGGCCAGAAGGGACCAAAATGATTATCTAGTTTGACCCCCTGCACATGGCAGGCCACAGAACCTCACCGATCCACT